TGTTAAACCATTTTACCGGTGGGCACTCTGTATGCAATAGGAACTGGTACTGAGCGGCAGTCTCAATCATTCGTCACTTAGAATCAATTGCTTTGGGATTCCGCTACATTCTACTGATTTATTTCAATGATTTGCACTACTTAGATTCAACTAATTGAAGTGAACCGTAATGGAAGTTACCCAACCTCAACTGTAGCAGGTCAGATGTGCAAACTTTAAATTACTGTACCGGAAATGGTAATAGTTACGTGTGAGCTACGCCTGACCGATCTAAACACCCGGAAACTTTTGTTCATTAACCTAGCCAAATATGCAATATTTTCTCGAGACTCCTTTTTGTTTACTCGGTGACCTTGAAATACTTTTGGGTTAATGTGGCCAGTCGTTCATCATAAATCGAAATTGCCCGGGAAATTTATGAAACTAAATGGGCTAGGGATTGTTCACCAAAGGTCGACGAAAAGGACTATGCGTATATATATATATATATATATATATATATATATATATCTGTGTGTGTACATTTTTCAAAGTTGCACCCGTCACTGAGTTCATACAACTAAATCACGGCAAAACGTGTACCCAATCATTTTTTTTCAATGCGTGTACCCGCTCTCTCTCTCTCTGGGGGAGAAGTATATCATATTCGAGGGATATCCCATGACCTCCGCAAATAGATTTTCCTGGTCACGAGAAACAGAGTTGGGTACGTCGAAACGTCACGAGATACTCGTTTTGCGCCACGTGTTCACACCCAAACATCTCCGGGGCCCATTGCATGTGGCCATTTTATGAGCGCGTTGTATCAGGGAAATCGGTTCGGGAACAACCGAACCGGAAACAAGTCACTCAAGCGATACCTCAGATCCGTTTCGTTTCCATGACTAGTGATTTCTTGAAATATTTAGAAAGCTGATTGTATAATTCTGTCATTTTGTTTGTTTTTCCCCGGCTTAACTCGGTTCAATTGTACCAGTGAGTGTATTCATGCATGCACCATTTACTCCATATTGTCCTGATTTCGAGCTACAAAGCGAACGCAACGAATCGAGGATGAACTGTGTAAAAAGGGGCTTGGTTGTGTGCTAATCGTGAAAAATACAAATTGGCTTGGCCATTGCGAAAGAGAATTGATACACATATTTGTAAAGTAAGGAGCCCGGGGAGAAGTTTATGAATTCAATTGATGGATTGATCTCGACGGACAATAATGGGTTGATCAGTACACAAGGCTGTCGCGTAACAAAGCCATGAGTGGTATATCATATTTATACGCAAGGCTGTTCAAAAGCGAGTGGAATTTCAGACATTCTCTTTTACATGGGTGGTTAGCAATGAACAATTTTTTTCAGTCTTATTTATTGTGATTTAACTTTATTAGAGTGAATAGAATAGCAATCAACCGGACTGTTTGTTATTACGCAATTATCAGCCAGGTACGAGCGTGTTTGTTCCGTTACCTGAGGAATGATAAGCGTTTTCGACCACTCGCTTCGGTGCACCGAGTTATTTCAATCAGCTTAATCCATTTTTATACTTTATCGAAACCTTCTAGCTAATATTTAGACGAGGATAAAACTAGCTCTGTTCCATGCAATGAACGCGTGAAAATTATACTTAGACAGAACAATTTTATTTTGAGAGAGTAACAGTGAGTGATTTCTCTTTCGTCCATCTCTTTTCCTGATCATAGTTTTAAGCCTAATAATAATTTGCTAAATCGGTTCTAGTGATGGAAAATTTTAGACATCAGACAGAATTGAACAACAATTAGATTACCGAAAATCAATTGTTCAATGGACAACTAACGTCTTTCTTTATTGCACAAACCTGTAAGGTGATTAATATTGTATAATTTGACTGGGATATTTTTGTTCCAAACTGTTTCAAAGGAATATGTGATCTTTCTAGAAATTTCTGTGTGGACACGGTCATGATAAATAAGCTGGCCGAACTTGGGCAAATTAGGGAACAACTGGAAGAGTTTTGGAATGAATTTAGAATGCATAATTGATAGAGTAATGTGCACGACAAATTCAGATCGCCATTCGGTGTCGTTGCCTGAAATCAGATGCGAAATGTTGTGTTTGAATTCAATCCGGTCGAAATTGAATGACCTTGAACTCAACTAATCTTTAAGTTGACAGCAAGAAGGTTTTGTGTTGGGGTCAAATAGTCGAAGTTAAATTAATAAAGCAAAGGGGTGGAATAGTGACACGTTTGTTTCCAATTCTGTTATTTAGATAAAAACGGGTAACCTAGACGTTGATAATTGATTTGGATTTTCACAACGCTCATACCTGACGTTGTCCGCTTTGGGCCAGGGAAGCTTAAATGCTTGAACAAGTGTGTTTTTTGAGCACACAGTTGTGAATTCAACAAGCGGATGACAATCTCTTCCGCTGTTGTTAACATTTTAATCACAAACAGCCGTGGATTTGTGTTGTACGCATCCATGACTATCAACCAATGTAGCTTAGATATGAAGGCATTGGAGTCAGTTCCAGTTCAATTGTTGCACACCTAGTCGAAATTAGATATTGGGTGGAAACTAATTCAGATTTCACCATTATTTCTTACATCCCACAACACAAATTCACGTCTGTTCGTGAGTAAAATGCTAGCAACAGCCAAGGAGATTGTCAGCCGCTTGTTGAAGTCACAATTATGTGTTTGTTCAAGCAATTAA